ATCGATATTCATGATATATTATAAGTTCGTCTTTAAGTATTTGCCTTAAAACATCAATAGCCAATAAGAATGCTGTATTTAGTATCTGAGACTTTTAGAACAGACCATAAATAACGATCTGTGATTGGTCAATGTAAAGTAATATTTTCTTTCGGAAATTCAGAAAGACATATTGTATATGACGATGTCTCTCGGCTCCATGCGACAAAAATACGAGAAGCAAAAAGCAAGAGGCAAAAAACAAGCAACAGAAAGCAAAGAACACATTGTAGATTCGGCTTAAGAGTTAAAAACAACACAATAACGTTCAAATGTTACATTTTTGTGTTAATTTTTTACATATTACTTGTTATTTATTTACATATTTGCCTTCTGTTAAATTAACATTAAAATTAGAGTGAATAAATTGGAACATGTGAAATATGTTAAATTTAACACAAAATGTTTTACTGTATAAAAAAATACTAAGAAACTCATCTTTTTAATTTTTCTAAATTTTAGAGGAAATCAATGCAGAAATGGGCGCGCTCGCTCTCCAAGAGCCAGATATGCGGCAGTTGATGCAACAAATGTTGCATCAACAACAATTGTTTCAGCAGCAGCTGCAATTTTATATACAACAGCAGCAGCAACAGCAACAACAACAACAACAACAGCAACAACAGCAACAGCAGCAGCAGCAAGAAGAGAAGGAACAACAGGCGCAAAATGGTAAATTATTTTTTTATATTAAATTTTATTTATCCAATTATTTATATATATATATATGTATATATATATGCATTTTTATAATTTATTTATTATTTATGTTTTAATTTTCAGATAACATAAGAAAAAGAGGAGGCGGACAGTCCCGTAGACGATGGTATGCCCGGCGAAATAGGGGCACTAGGGACGGATGGGGCGTCGCCAGCACTCAAAATAGGGGAGGCAAAGAAGCTGGCCGAGGACGAGGAGGCGGTCGAGGACGAGGAAGTGGCCGAGGCCGAGGAAGGCCAATAATTATAAATAATTATTATTATTAAAAAAAATTATAATTAAAAAAAAATTATTAATAAAAAAAATAAAAAACAATATAATAATCCAGAATATTTTACTTTCCCTTCTTTCTACTTTCTTCCTTCCTTTCTTGTAAAATTTAATGAAATAATGTAATGTGGTATAATAGGGCTCCAGGCGAAGGTCCACATAAAAAACCTAACGCGCCATTGGTGATACCTCATGGGTAGTGTGGAAAATCGCACTATTTTTCTTAATTTGATATTTTAAATGTATAAAAAAATTAATTATATTTAATATATTATAAAACGTGTGTGTATATATATGTAACATATATACAGGGTGACCCATTTTAATTTAGGCAGCCAAATAACTCGAAAAATAAGCACACTACGAAAAAATGGTTAGAATCAAAATTTCGTCATTTCGAGGGGGACGTACAATGACGTTAAAATCAGCCCCCCCACCCCTCCCCCTGGGCGGTGAGGGGGGGCAAGTTTGAAATCTTAAATGGAACTCCCTATTTTTCATTGCATATTCTTGTAGCTTATCTCGAGAGCTTTCCAAAACACTATAATTAAGTACCTTTTTATTAAGTACTTTTTGAGTTATAAGGCTTGAAATAATTTCTTAATTTTACATAAATCATAAAATATCTAGTAAACCATTCATTTTTCGATTATCTTACCTTCATACTTTTATGTACAAAATAATGAGAGGAATCAATTGGTGTAAAGAAAACACATAGTTGTTTCTAAGAAAAAATATGTAATTTGCAATTAACAATTCCATATTTTTTCTTAAAAACAACTGTATGTTTTCTTTACACCAATTGATTCCTCTCATTATTTTGTACATAAAAGTATGAAGGTAAGATAATCGAAAAATGAATGGTTTACTAGATATTTTATGGTTTATGTAAAATTAAGAAATTATTTCAAGCCTTATAACTCAAAAAGTACTTAATAAAAAGGTACTTAATTATAGTGTTTTGGAAAGCTCTCGAGATAAGCTACAAGAATATGCAATGAAAAATAGGGGTTCCCATTTAAAAAATTCAAGTCGACCTTGACATGACCTTCACGACGCCACCCAAGGTCAATCAAATTTACCCATGTAATGCATTACTTTATCTTCAACAACTTTTGTCTGAAACATTTTTCAAAATAACCACTTCCTTTGCTTTAAAATGGGGTGTACGGGTGGTCTGAAACACCCGGTATATATATATATATATATATATATATATATATATATATATATATACAGGGTGTCAATTAAGTCCCGGGACGGCTAAATATTTTCTCATGTAAGGTATTTTTGAAAAAGGTCAAGGTCATTTCTGAAGTAATTTTCAACGAGGAATTCAACGGTGACCTTCAATTTGACCTTGAGCTTGACCTTCAAGGTTATTTGAAGGTCAAAGTGTTTTTTTTAAATAGGAACCCCTATTTTTGATTGTATATTCTTATAGCTGACCTCGAGAGCTTTCCAAAACACTATAATAAAATATTTTTCCCTCAAGCATTTATCGAGTTATGATGCTTCAAATCATTTCTTAATTTTACATAAACCGTAAAATATCTTGTAAAATATTCACTTTTCGATTATTTTACCTTAATACTTTTATGTACAAAATAATGAGAGGAATCAATTGGCATAAAGAAAACATATAGTTGTTTTTAAGAAAAAATATGGAATTGTTAATTGCAAATTACATATTTTTTCTTAAAAACAACTATATGTTTTCTTTACGCCAATTGATTCCTCTCATTATTTTGTACATAAAAGTATTAAGGTAAAATAATCGAAAAGTGAATATTTTACAAGATATTTTACGGTTTATGTAAAATTAAGAAATGATTTGAAGCATCATAACTCGATAAATGCTTGAGGGAAAAATATTTTATTATAGTGTTTTGGAAAGCTCTCGAGGTCAGCTATAAGAATATACAATCAAAAATAGGGGTTCCTATTTAAAAAAAACACTTTGACCTTCAAATAACCTTGAAGGTCAAGCTCAAGGTCAAATTGAAGGTCACCGTTGAATTCCTCGTTGAAAATTACTTCAGAAATGACCTTGACCTTTTTCAAAAATACCTTACATGAGAAAATATTCAGCCGTCCCGGGACTTAATTGACACCCTGTATATATTATTATATATATATACGAGGGTAGTTCGAAAAGTTCTCGGCCTGGCAAAGAAAACACATGATTTCCAGCAAAAATCTTTTTTATTTTTCAACATAGTCCCCTTTCAACTCAATACATTTAGACCAACGATGTTCTAATTTTTTTATACCCTCAGTATAATACGATTTGCTTAAGCCTCCAAAATAAGCATCCGTCTCAGCGATGACCTCCGCATTTGACGTGAATTTTTTTCCAGCAAGCCATTTTTTCATATTCGGAAACAAAAAGAAGTCACTGGGAGCTAAATCTGGCGAGTACGGTGCGTGTGGTAACAATTCGAAACGCAATTCATGGAGTCCAAGCACTCTTGAGAAATGTTCGTTCGAATGCGTTTCTGATCGACCGTTAACAAACGCGGCACTCATCGCGCTGAGAGCTTTCTCATATGCAAATGTTCATGTAAGATATTGTGAACACGATCTATTGAGATGTTTGCAATGTTAGAAAGCTCACGCACTTTTACTCGTCGATCATTTAACACGCTATCGTGGATTTTTTGAATGATTTCCTCATTCGTGGCGGTTTTCGGGCGACCCGAACGTTCATCGTCAAAGATGGATGAACGGCCACGTTTAAATTCAGCAGCCCATTTCTTCACTGTTGAAAATGATGGAGAAGAGTCTCCCAAAGTGGAATCCAGCTCGTTTTTTATTTCTGTTGCCGTTAATCCTTTTAAAATGAAATATTTTATGACTGCGCGATATTCAATTTTATCCATTTTTGGAGAAGTATCAAATCTTGTCTGTTTTACTCGAGCACAGTAAACAAACTAGCGAACGAATCTGTCTGAAACTGTGCGGTACGCCCTCTGAGGGATTAAACTTGAGAAAAATCATAGCCATTTGATATTCTTAGGGACATTTCTATATTAGGCCGAGAACTTTTCGAACTACCCTCGTATATATATATATATATATACATATATATATATATATATTATAAATATATTATACGTTTATGTATATACATATTTATATATATTTGTAACAAAAATAAAAAACATAAAGAAAAGCTGTGAAAGAGAAACATTGAAATATCGAAGAGCGAGGCTCGCTCAGCAGCGTTCCGCGTCGCGCGTCGCTCGTCGTTTTCGTTGCTTGCTTGGTAAGAAGGAGACAGAAAACTGTATTCTGTCCTCTTCTTTTAGCCGAAGCTCACCGAAGCGCTGAGCTCACACGTACGCTTACGCACACATCTCCGTTATCCTCTCCACTACGCGTGGCATGTTGCTTGCGGAGATAATCTTGCATCCCTGACTGATAGTCCTATTTCTTTTATTTGCAATCAAACTTTTAAGAAATTCTTTATGTTACGAAATCATGCTATTCATATGTGCGCATAGTCCGAACGGATGAATGTTCCAACTGGTATCGCAGCGCGGCGCCACTATCAAATTCGAGTGAAAGAAGGGACGAACTCGTCTTCTCGAGCCGCGTGAAATCGCTTCGAGCGCTTTCCTTCTTCGTCCTTGTCTTCCGGCCGTGAATGATTACGGTTTTCGGGTGCAATAGTAATCAAGTTCTGTTGCAATAAGGCTCTACTAAGGCGAGATTCTTCGAATCTCTTGATCGGTTCTCAGTTTCTAACATATCTGGTAAGGCCTTTCATCTTTCTCAACGAGCTCTTCTCATAACACAACATCATGAACAAGAGAGCGCAACCAAACGGCCATCTTGAGATAGAATACAAAAGGTTTGTTCTTTTCAGCTGCACTAGTTCTGAACTAGAACTGACGAGTACAGTAAAAATTTCATAGGTGCAGAAATGTAGATAGAAACGAAAAGAACGCCACAGTGCAGAAATTAACATGGCGCAACACATTCCGGATAATGATTTAGATGAAGAATATTTTGTTTTACCAGCACCATTATTGCATGCAGAACCTATTTGGGATGAAGAGGATGATGGTAATTACTATTATTCTGAATAACAAATTAATCAACGTTAAAAAACTAAAATTCTTAGGGCCAGTTCTAGGTTAAGTGTCAGGTAGTTCATCTGATGGTTAAAAAGTATGCGTTACGTATGCTAACTTTTTAACCGTCAGGTAAGCTATCTGACACTTAATCAGTCCTCAGACAGATAAAAATCTAATCTAATAAATGTATTTTAGATTATAACGAGTTACTACAAATAGTACATCCAGTTTTTGGAAGAGTTCAGAGAATAGAACATATAAAAATACATAATTACATAGAAAATATTGTTCGCAGCTATAACAATATTGATTTTATAATGCACTTTCGATTATCTAAAGAAAAAGCATATGAACTAATAAATCAATTTGAGATATCTGAGATATTTATTTCATTACAAAGTATGTATTATTGTTTGTTATTATATATAAAATATACTTTATGGCCCATATTCAGAACCCTCTTTTATCGATAAAAGTGCCTCTAAAAGTGGCATATAAGTTTTCTGATTGGCTATAAGCCAGTTTTAGAAGCTTTTATCGATAAAAGAGGGTTCTGAATACGGGCATATGTGTATATGTAATAATCATAGAGCTTATATACATGAAGATTCCTTTGCCTAGGAAAAAAAGAAACAGCAATAGGTTTCATAAGAGAAACTTATGGTAACAACAAAAATGTTTTTTTAACATGAAAAGAATTGATTTTATTTTATTATTTTGTTAGATGATTCTGGGCGTCCTAATATAACAGCTGAGAAACATATATTGTGTTACCTATGGTTCGTAGGACATCAGAGTGCATCTTATCGTGATGTAGCTGATCGATTTGGAATGACAATAAGTACTTTGTATAATATAATAACTAGAATAACAGATTTTATACTGTTATTAGCATCAAATATCATAAAATATCCAACGTTAGCTGAGAAAGAAGAAACTGCAACATATTTTAACGAAAAAAAAGGATTTCTTCGTATAATTGGTAATGTAGTCATGTTTACATTTATACATGTAAAACATATATTAATATTTCTTTTCTTTTAAGGTGCTATTGATGGTTCACATATAAGAATAGATAAACTAACAGAAGATCTAGATTCATATATTAATAGAAAACAATACTTTTCGTTGCATATGCAAGGTACAGTGGATCATAAAATGAAGTTTATCGATGTTTTCATAGGATATCCTGGTTCTGTCCACGACACACGGGTTTTTAAAAATTCACCATTACGTAACGATCTACATGAATTTTGTGGAAGTTAGTTAAAAAATGATATAAATAATACAAATAATAATGATTGAAGATAAAAAATCGATATCTAATCATAAATCATCTTTCAGATAATTATTTATTGCTTGGAGATAGCGCATATCCCTGTTTGAAAGAATTAATTGTACCGTACAGAGATAATGGACATTTAACTCATGCACAGAGATCTTTTAATCAAAAGCTAAGTTCTTGCAGGGTAATAATTGAAAATGCTTTTGGATATTTGAAACAACGTTTTCCACAGTTGTATCATTTTAAATTACGCGATATAGTACGTATGGTGTACGTAATACATGCGTGTTGCGTACTTCATAATATAGCAAATATGGAAAATTTGCAATATCTTGAAGAACCTATAAATGATCAGTATCCTGATATACAGAGTGATTCAAAATAACCCCTGTGTCCGTGAAATGACACATTGTTGAGTCAATTCTAAGACGATTTTTCCTTTTGCAAAATTTCTTCCGAAGCTTAGTTTGCGAATTATTAAAGAAAGTAGTTAACGCATGACGGGTTGAATATAAGAGGCAGGCAAGGTTGACGCGGGCGCTTACGCGGTGCGCCTGCTGCGATCAGCTGGTCGCTATACACTGCGACGTTTATTCAATTAGATTCAAATGAATCGCGACACTCCTCGAGATGTTGGATGGGAGCGTGCGTGGGGGAGCGAAAACGCCGTCAAAAAAAATAACGAAATTAATATACTCGTGTTCTGAGGAACCGGGGTAGAGGACGTTCTCGCGCGAGCCGCGGCGGAGCTGAGGCCGTATCGATATATCGAAAAGTTGGGCGCCAGATGCGGTCTTTCACGCATCAATTTCGCGAAAAGCCGAAAGACGCTAAAAACGATAGCTTGTGTGGCGTCCCTGACACTCGCCACATCGAGCGTGGTCTCAGTAAGCGCTGACCGGCGTAGTAAAGTTGGCGCTTAATTATATCTCAATATATAATTAATCTCAATTTTAATTAATGCCGCTGAAGGGCGCGACAGATTAAGATAATTTTCTCGCTATTGAAAAACATTGGAAAGTATATAAAAGAAGATGCGGTCAACGACTTACCAACCATCTTGTAACCTCGCAGAAATAGCTTCTAGCTACTCAGCGAATAACCTTTTTGTCCTTTTTGAAAACCCTTATAGTATACCTGATCACCGAGACCTTCTAGACCTTTGGGACCCTCGAGATCTTCCAAGATCACCGAGACCTTCCAGATCCTCGGAATCCTCGAGATCTTTCAGATCACCGAGACCTACCAGATCCTCGGAAACCTCGAGATCCTCCAGATCACCAAGACCTTCCAGATCCCCTGGATCCTCGAGACCTTCCAGATCACGGAGACCTACCAGATCCTCGGAATCCTCGAGATCCTCCAGATCACCAAGACCTTCCAGATCCCCTGGATCCTCGAGATCTATCAGATCACCGAGACCTTCCAGATCCTCGGAATCCTCGAGATCTTCCAGATCACCGAGACCTTCCAGATCCTCTGGATCCTCGAGATCTACCAGATCGCCGAGACCTTCCAGATCCTCGGAATCCTCGAGATCTTCCAGGTCACCCGAGATCTTCCAGATCACCGAGACCATCCAGATCCTCGGGATCCAAGAGATCTTCCAGATGCCAACTAATCCTCGGAAGATTATTCAATTCCTTCCCTGGAGACTCATCCCTATAGAACTAACTAAAAGGACATTTTCTCTGATCCCTACAACGCCTTGTTCCTCTCCGCCAAGAACACCTCGTTCATCAACCAAGCGATCTAGAGGAACTCAGACGGAACTCTACAATAGCAGAGGAGAAAGATTAGGGAAATTGCAAATCATTAAGTCTTCGCTAAGAGTAACTTGGCGACCTAAAATTGTAAAAATCAAAGAAATGAAATAAAAATTTTTTGTTAAAAATACTACAAATTGGTGACCCCGATATGGACGGAGATAACCAACATATTGGCCGCCTTGCAATAAAAGCACCTCCTTTCTGGCCAGAGCAACCAGAACTCTGGTTCGCACAACTTGAAGGACAATTTGCACTAGGGGGAATAACGCAAGACGCAACAAAATATTTATACGTAATAGCGCATATTGAGACAAAGTACGCTCGGGAAGTAAGAGACATAATCACACAACCCCCGGAAGCCGGAAAGTATGAAGCAATAAAAAAAGCACTAATACAACGACTAACAATTACTCAAGAACAACGAACCCGCCAGTTACTAGAGCACGAAGAACTTGGCGATAGAAATCGCAGTTCTTACGGCATTTACGAACACTCGCCGGATCAAATGTGCCAGAACAACTCCTCCGCACTTTATGGATAGGACGACTGCCCTCACAAATGCAAATCATACTCACGACAAGGACCGAAGACAGACTTGAGGAAGTTGCTGAACAAGCCGACCGAATAGCTAAAGTAATTAGCCGATCTGTACCAGCAACTGCAAACAGCACCACTGAGAAACAAACTTTGGAGGACCAAATTAGAAAACTAACTGAACAAATTGCAAAATTAAATAACAGGCAATTTTATCGATCAAGAAGTCGATCCAGAAATTGGTCGCCTAGAAGGCGATCACAGAGTAAATCTCAGAGTCGAGCAAATCAAGAGAACGAGGAAATTTGCTACTACCATCGGCGCTTCGGAAGCAAAGCAAATAAATGCCAACAACCTTGCAAATTTACTAAGGAAAACGAGGAGGGGAGTCATTAATGGCGGCGAATGACTCGAACCCACATACCTGCCGCCTCGTAATCACGGACATTAAAACTACTCCCATACCTTATAGATACAGGATCCGATGTCAGTGTCTATCCACACAAACTAGTCCAAGGCCCGCTGTAGTCAAGCACATATCAACTTTACGCAGCCAACGGAACAATCATACGCACCTTCGGACAGATAACGCTGGAACCAAATTTCGGTTTAAGAAGAACATTCTTATGGAGATTCATCATAGCCGATGTTACGCAACCGCTCATCGGCGCAGATTTTTTGTCATTTTATCATCTACTCCCAGATTTACAAAAAGGACTTATCGACGGGAAGACAGGACTTTATACACAAAAACTTAAATCTGTCGTCAAAAAAGGAAACATCAGTTCCATTAAAATATTACCCAAACAGGCAAAATACCACAACCTCCTCACTGAGTTTCCCGACATAACCAAATTAGGCGGAGTCAGAAAAGAAGCACGGCACTCGACAGTACATTATATCAAAACCACAGCTGGTCCACCAGAAGGATGTCGCCCACGCCGCCTAGCGCCCGACAAATTAAAAGCAGCTAAGGCCGAATTCGATCTCTTAAACGAAGGGATAATTCAACCATCCAAAAGCCCCTGGGCCTCTCCTCTACATATGGCACCCAAAAAAGAAAATTCTTGGCGACCTTGCGGAGATTATAAAAAATCAGACGCAAGAACTATACCAGATAGATATCCAATACCTCACATAGAGGATTTCACTCAAACACTAGAGGGCAAAAGAATATTTTCAACCTTAGACTTAGTTAGAGCATATAACCAAATACCTGTACATGATGAAGATATATCCAAAACAGCAATTGCAACTCCATTCGGCCTTTTTGAATACAAGTATATGCCGTTCGGATTACGCAACGCAGCACAAACATTTCAGCGTTTCATCAATGAAGTCTTACATGGACTAGACTTTTGTTATACATACATAGACGACATACATAGATAGACATACTAGACTTTTGTTATACATACATAGACGACAGACTTGTTGCATCTAAATCAGAAGAAGAACATGAAACACATCTTCGAGAAGTATTCCGACGTTTAGACAAATACGGCTTAATAATAAATCAAACTAAATGCAACTTCGGGGAAAATCAAGTAAAGTTCTTGGGTTATTTGATTTCAGCAGAAGGAACCAAACCTCTTCCTGAAAAAGTTCAAGCTATTGAAAATTTCCCGAAACCAAAAACAGTTAAAGAAATGCGCCAGTTCTTGGGAATGTTAAACTTTTACAGAAGATTCATTCCTGGGGCAGCAGAGGATCAAACTAAGTTAAATGAAACGCTATCTGGCCCATTGAAGAAAAAGAAAACACCTATTGTTTGGACACAAGATTTGGAGCAAGCTTTCGAAAAAACAAAAAAAAGTTTATCCCGAGCTATACTTCTAGCCCATTCGGATCCTCTAGCTGAGCTAGCTTTAACAACTGACGCTTCCGACAACGCTATGGGAGCAGTAATCCAACAAAAGATTAAAAACAATTGGCAATCACTGGCGTTCATGAGCAAAAAATTTAACCCAGCTCAGCGAAAGTACAGCCCTTACGACAGAGAACTGTTAGCAATTTACTTAGCAATTAAACACTACTGACTTCTCCTGGAAGGACGAAATTTTACAATTTTCACGGATCACAAACCTCTCATCTACGCATTCAACATAGATCCGCTGCGAAGTTCTCCACGCCAAGCACGCCACCTTGAATTTATAGGACAATTTTTCACTGACATTCAACACATATCTGGGAAAGAAAACATCACGGTAGATACTCTATCAAGGGTGGAAAGTATTCACAACGCGATAAATTTCGAAGAATTAGCTAAATCACAGAAGGAAGATGAGGAGCTTCTGGAAGTTCTGAAAGGAAATGGAACTCTTAAGTTAAAAGAAATACCAATTCCAGGAACGGAGATCATGCTATTTTGCGACGAAGAATCAAAATTCTCACGCCCGTTCGTGGCGAGATCATTTCGAAAAAAAGTTTTCCAATGTCCTTGCATGGTCTTTCACATCCTGGGATCAAAGCAACTGTAAAGCTAATTATACAACGCTTCGTTTGGCAGGAATACAACGCGATTGCCGCAAATGGGCACAAGCTTGCCTTCAATGCCAGAAATCGAAAATTACTAGACACAACAAAGCGCCAATCGGAAATTTTCAAGTCCCCTCTGGACGTTTCGAACACATTCACGTTGATATCATTGGACCCATGCCAATCTCTAAAGGACATCGATACTGTCTAACAATAGTAGACAGATTCTCAAGATGGCTAGAAGCAATACCACTACCAGATATTTCAGTAAGCAGCGTAGCAACAGCCATTTTTACCAACTGGATGGCGAGGTTCGGCATACCACGCTTAACTACAGACCAAGGCCGACAGTTCGAAGCAGAATTATTCAAACGTTTAATGCAACTTAAGGGCTCCACGCATCTAAGGACTACAGTATACCATCCATCTGCGACGGATTAGTGGAACGCTTCCATAGACAACTAAAAGCAGCTATTAAATGCCATGAAAATTGGGTAGAAATTTTACCAGTAATATTAATGGGTATTAGAGCAGCATGGAAAGAGGATCTTCAAGCAACAACAGCTGAAATGGTTTATGGAAAACCAATCAAATTGCCAGGTCA